GGTAAGGCTCACTGAGCTATGTAGTTCTTTTACTGGTAGGAACCTCCTGGTTACACCAGCCCACAGGGGATTATTGTGTCCGTCCGTCTGTCGTGCATCCAAAAATGGGAGGGGTGGGGAGGGTGTGGCTGGGTGGGGGGTGGGAGGGGTGGGGCTGGGTGGGGAGGGTGGGGCTGGGTGGGGAGGGGCTGGGTGGGGAGGGTGGGGCTGGGTGGGGGGTGGGAGGGGTGGGGCTGGGTGGGGAGGGGCTGGTCACCCCGTGGTGCCCTTATAAAACTCAACGTTTAACCTACTCACGCCGGCTTGTGCCCGCCCTCACAGTCGGGCATATTTGCGGAATACACCACGCCGCCATTGACCCTGGCCATTGACCGAGCAACCCGACGTTCCTACCAGCTCCCTCCGCAGGAATGTGTTTCAGAAGCCAGCTGGGCACATGATAGCTCCATGGAGTGGCTTATCACGTGGAAATGTATAGCAGCCAAATACTGTAAACAGTGAAACGATCACTCTGGAAGAGTGACGTGATTAGTGCTGGTACACGGTGCAGAAACGGTGACACAAAGAATGAAGTCAGGAAGGAGGAGAAAGAGATTGCTTGCCAGGACAGAGATGAGAATGTGAGAAGAATGTTTGGGAATATCTCAAAGCGAAAAGAGGGGTGATGCAGAATTTGGAGCCTTAGCAGGTTTTTTTTTTTAACTGATATTCTCGAGAAGGTGAAGGAGGTGAGATGGTTTGGCTACCTGTTGAGAAGGGACAACGAATATGCAACTATAAGGGCTGTGGAGATTAGAGACCCACAGACTCACATAGAGACCCATCGTCTAAAAGGGCTGTGGAGCTGCCATCGGTGCAGCGCAGAACGGGGAGAGGGAGACCGAGAGTGAGATGGGAGGCTACGGCGGATCAAGATACGAGGACAGTGGCTGGGAATAGAGAAGAGGTGCAGAATTTAAGCTCATGGAGAAAGAAAATCTGAGCAGCCAATCCCATCCGGTAATGGGGACTTTGAATGACAAGAAAGTCACAATCGGGGTGTGGTTCTCTCACACCCTGCTGCTCACAGATATGTTTATTGCTTGACAGTAAACCTGGCGTTTGTAATTTTGAGAGTTTGAACGTGGCGGCTTGAAGAAAAAAAACCAAATCACATGCGATGGATTTTATTTATCCGAGCATTTGTGACCAGGCCGAGACCATCAACTCATTACCGTTGAGCACCCGGCTTAATAGTGGGCTTCCAAAAAACCCAGATTCGCACAGTGTGTTTTCTTTTTTGCGAACGACACACTCGCACACACGCCTGGCAACAGTGGCAGCAGTGAATCGTGGCCCGCGTATGGCACTGGCGATTTTTTTGGTCGAGTTCGTTTGTGAACTCCCACACAAACCCTCAGTGGGCAGTTATGCCAGACCCCTTAAATGAAAATTTCCCTGAAAAGACACTGATTTAAATAGGAGCTAAGGGGGGCATTTTGTACTTCAGTTGTTTTATGAAGCTGACCCCAGCAGTCTACTTGCTTGACAGGCTTCTACTTTTCGACAAAATATATAATCGGACAATATGTCTTTCTCATGTATCCATCTCTCCATATGAAAAAACAAATGTATTTCTTACACAACCCATCAGCTGCATGGCCTTCTGGGAGTATTTCATTTCAGTTAACCCGAACTCTGGGCCGGTTTTGACATGCAGTTTCTTATCGGCAGAGTCAGGCTTGCTTGATGATACACTACGTCAAAACCGGTACAGAGGGTGCTTGTCTGGAAATAATTCTGCCGAAATTATGGACTCCCGGAAGGCTGTGACGGCTGATGAGTTGTGCAAGAAATCCGTTTTGTTTCTTTTAACGCGCAGAGACGGATTTATAAAAGAGACAAAATGGTGTGCTTATTTAGATTTGTGTATCCTCTGCGGTGACGCCCGCGTGATTATTTTGAGCTTCCTCGACAAGGTCACGTGCTCTGCACGCGACGGCGCGGCCCACGCACCGCCACCTGTGCTGTTGACGCGACGGCCCCACGCGCGCTCGCGTCGCTGTGCCCTTGACTATATCGCGGACCCTAACTGTGGAAAGATGAATGTGTTTACTCTCACCCGTCGCAAACGTCGGCTCACGTCCGGTACTTAGACGGTGTGTACCCTAGCCGATGGCCTCGGTGGGCCGCTACCGTAGGCTTGTTTGTGATGGTTTTTTTCTTCCACCTTTGCGTGCGTCACACCAGCTTACGGGAAATATTCAAACGGACGTCAGCGTTTCATCGTTGTTGGTAAATGGCTGTCGCGAAATGCACATCGCCCAGCTTATATGTCGCCGGGTGTTTTTTTTTTTACTCAAGGTGTCTTTTTTTTTCTTCCAACTTTGGCGGTCGGCGCATTGGCACGTGCACGTCATCTGCCAGCGGCGCTTAGTTTAAGCGGGTGGTGACGTGGAATGGAAAAACTAGCCACCGGTTGAAATTCAACGTTCTTGCAGTCATCCCATAGGACAACCGTTGTTGACAGTGGTAATAATTTAATCGGCTCCAAGGAAATGATGGGCTTATTTGATCCAGGACCGGGAGTTGAACTTGTCAGAGTGTGTCTGCTAGAATTAACATTGGGGCAGTTGCTAAGGCAGCGGAGCAAGCTTCAAATTCCCATAGTGGAGGCCACTTTATTCATGGCAACAGATATGTAAACAAAATTAATGCGAGATATATTTGGCTTGGTAAGCTGCAACGTCAAGTGCTGTTAGAGAGCACTTGCTAAGGCCGGCGTGAACAATAGGCGGTGCTGGGGACAGCACCGTGCCTGACCACCTTGGTCTTTCCATTCATAAATGTTCATATACCACACCGGCTACTCATTTACGGCTGAGTTTAACTAGGGATGAACCAGGACAGACATTGATGCCATCTGTCATTGATGTTATTTACGACCAGCAATCAAACTCGGCTGACTCACTTCCTGCTCAAACGAGCATTGAGGCAATGTTCATCTTCTGTTCCCAGCCCAGCACCAGTGGTGAAAACTCCACGTTCCTATGGCAGGAGAGAGTCTCTCCTTAGGGCAACCATTGTTGATTTACGTTTTAAAATGGTACTCATTTTCTCGACTTCAGAGGGATGATGGGCCGGCCGAGTCGACACCCAACCAAGATTTGAACTCGTAACCTTCCGATTGTGAGGGGCGCACACACTTACTCATCACTGCGTTTGCATTGTAGTCATAATATAATTTATCTCCGAACACCTGACTGAGTAACAAAATTATTTTGTGAAGGGGTCCTCCTGCATTGAATGGGATGTTTGATCAGATCGATTTTAAAGAGTTTTGTTGGGTATGGGATGGAATGAGTATTCAAGTGGAATGCTGGACCTTTCCATGATTAGGTCGGAAAACACATTCCTGCGGAGTGAGCTGGTAGGAACGTTGGGTTGCACGGTCAATGGCCAGGGTCAACGGCGGCGTGGTGTATTCCGCAAATATTCCCGACTGTGAGGGCGGGCACAAGCCGGTGTAAGTAGGTTAAACGTGGAGTTTTATAAGGGCACCACGGGGTAACCAGCCCCTCCCCACCCAGCCCCACCCCTCCCAGCCCCACCCTCTCCAGCCCCACCCTCCCCACCCAGCCCCCCCCCACCTTTCCCACCCGCCCCTCCCCACCCTCCCCACCCAGCCCCTCCCCACCCAGCCCCTCCCCACCCAGCCCCACCACACCCAGCCCCTCCCCACCCTCCCCTCCCCACCCAGCCCCTCTCTCCCCACCCAGCCCCTCCCTGCACGCGGACACAATAATCCCCTGTGGGCTGGTGTAACCAGGAGGTTCCTACCAGTATAACCTACATCAGGGGTCGGGAACCTTTTTGACTGGGAGAGCCATAAAAGCCAAATATTTCTCAATATATTTCATTGACAGCCATATAGTATTTTTAACGTATAATAAATTACATATGTCTTGCCACTTCTGGTCACGGGACCCGTGACCCGAGAAATTTAATCTTCAAAACTAATTTGTTTATTTTAAAATGACACAGTATTATTAAACAATATCACAAGTTCCAAACTGATTATATTTTTATTTTATTATTATTATTATTTTTTTCACCTCAAAATTGTCTGGGAGCCATATGCCGTCACCGGAAGAGCCATATATGGCTCGCGAGCCATAGGTTCCCGACCGCTGACCTACATCCTGCAGGTACCTTGCTTGCCTGGGTGGTAGTGGGGTGTCACATTCGTATGATAGTTGAATCCCCACCGATGCTCGCCTTTCGTACATTCGCATTGCAGTTCCCTTTTTCGACGAAACATTGTTTTGGAAAATTGATGGGACAGATAAATAATGTGTATGTCCTTCCACAAAACACATTCCAATGCACGGACAGGATAAAGATGAATACTTAGTTTCTAGGGAGTCAAACGAATGTATTAAGGATGTTGAGAATAGGTTTTAAATTCCAACCAATTGTAGACGGCTGTGGTAAGGACACTAATGCAACAACAACCCATAAATCACAGTACACAACACCAGGAGAAGCTGCTAAACAGAAACAATACTGTTTTGGAACACGCGATGGTGGCTCACTATATACGAATTCGCCGAGTTGTTTCTCCTACTTATAACCAGAAACCCAACGAATAATGCCAACAGTGGTGAAGTGAGCATGTGATTGGATCGCGGTAGTGCAGTGGTTAGCGCACTACTGCGCTGCCAACCCAGCGTTGCCTGTGTTCTATTCCTGGCCACAATCAACATTGGTTACGAACGATATCTGAACTGGTTTTGGACCTTCTCTAGGTCAACTCGGCCTGAAACGAGTGCCTGGTGCAGTGTGTCGACACGAACGCGGGAGAGACTAAGGTGGCTGTACCCGGTCACTACCCCCCCTCCCCTGCCGAGCGTGAGAGGCGCTTGCTAGCAGCGCTCGCCCCAACTGTGTGTGTGTTAGAGACTACACGGGGGACCTTTGTCTTAGTGCATCTTTGTATCTGTGCGTGTGGCACCGCGCAGAGGAGCCTGCGCTGCAGAAGAAGCGCCTGTGCGTGAAGCTGATCCCGCGCGACTCCACGGAGGTCGCCGTCTGCGACGTCAAGGTCAACGGGCGGGCGCGCCAGCCCCCGCCGCACTACACCTTCATCGGGTACGGGGGGCACGGGGCACGGGGCGCCAGCTGGGCACACTCACGCTATCCGCCGCTCCGTACGCGAGCTGGCTGTACAGAGTGGGTCGACGGGGTTGCGCCGACTGCTTTGAGATTCATTATATCGTTTGCGAACATGAAAACAACTCAACTTGTTTTCCGATGACACTGTGTACAATCGGCGGCGTTTCGAGCAATGGCCCTTGTTTGGAACAGGAGTAACCTACATATGCCAATAAAAAAAAAAGGTCCACCAGAAAATATTGTTGTAATTTACTGCGTATCAGGCCTCATGTTGCCGTCACCAACTGTTAGCCACGCACACTTAGGCCTCTCTCTGTTTGTGATATGAAATAGGGCAATTGCTGTGAAAAATCACCTATTCTATTCTTTTCGTTTTAAGGCCCTGCAGTGTTATTGACGAACGTGTTGAGGTTTTTTGTTATTTGTGCTTTTGCATCATTGCCAACGCAGCATCACCAAGTCATGTGCATTTGGAAATGTGGAGTACGACAGAGCTATGGGCGAGAAAATAGCCTGCTGAACCAGATTTCACAGAACTACTTCCAATGTCCCATCAAGTGACGTTTATTATCCACATACTAAGGGACATACTTTCAAACCCTGCTATGGAGAGAAATGATTACCTAATCGCATTGATATTTTAGTTGGAAATTAGCCTAATTATAACTCGATGGTTTTTTGTGCTCTCATTCAGTACGTATACTTAGAACTAAATGTGGGTGGGTATGTGCCAGTGTGATGAGTACCTTGTGCGGTGTGTAAACAGCACCACTGGGGAGACAAATGCGGTCGGGTGTGGTGCTGGCCACCCACCCCCTCGCGTACCGTACCAGCCTTTGTGAGCAGCACCTACCCCAAAAGTATGTTAAGGCTATACCGGGGATCTTTGTCTTTGATACCTTTTTTTCAGGGAGCTGAACAGCATGGGGCTGTGGTTCAAGCTGGGCAGGGTTCCCAAGTCTCCCTTCCGCATGGTCAGGGGGCCCAGCGCCCCCCAGCTGCCAACCCCAACGCCTTCCCCCAGACCCAAGATGCCCCCAAGGTACGTGATTCTCAACTGCCCCCTCATTCACTTGCCACCTCTGTCGGGATGGAGGGCCTGAAATTCAGTGCTTTGGGGAGTTGTGCTTGGTGGATCGTGTAGGCACCGAGTCAGCAGAGCTGTGACGACGGTGGTCGGTGGATCTGTACGGTAGTGCGGTTGTTTACGATCTGCTGTCCACGGGCCGCTTGGTGCTCCTCCGCAAGGCCGCACACGGGAAGTGATCCGCGGAACTGTTGCAGATGGTTTTAAGTTTTGTTGAACAAAAATCACCTTCTGACCTTTTTGACTTGCACGGCGGTCTGCAGATATTTGTTAAGGATGGGCAGTGGCTTTGTGGGTGCATAAAGTTTGGAGAACCTTTGCCGATGCCTTTTGAATGGGTTACAGTGACTTCCAGTTCCGCAAGTGGGTTGGGGGGTTGGGGGGGTAAGGGGTGGGGGGTTTCTGGCCACTCCACGTTCCCTTCCACAGAAATAAATAAACTAGGTGAGAAATTGACGCGTCTCAAGCAACTTCGCTCCCAGCTTGTTTGTCAGTCCGCTGCTGGACGAAGGCCTCCCCAAGCCGCCGCCATCTCTCTTGCATGTAACAATCCACCCCGCACTTGCACACAAACTAATTTCGTCGCTCCATCTATCTGTAATGCGGGCGTAAATGGGCGGGGCGGATATGACGATCCGAGAGGGAGGAGTCAGGGTCACGTGGGGGAGAAGTTATAGCGGGGAGACAGGAAGCCATCTGGGTCAGTCGGGGGAGTGAAGGGTGGTGAACACGTTGGGTGGTCGCCGTGCCTCAGCCTGGTGGCTGAGGGGCTCATGACGGCGCCAGCCAGCGGGGTGGAAGAGAGTTGGGGATAGAGCTGAGGTTGGAGATGGCGAGATAGCCACAGAGGCCACGCAGGGCTGAGATTGGAGATGGCGAGATAGCCACAGAGGCCACGGAGGGCTGAGGTTGGGGAGTGGCGAGATCGCCACACACGGTAAGACTCGGCACCGCCGGCCAGCGGTGACCGAGCACGGAGGAACAGGGAGCAGCGGTGGAGCTGCTGTGAGAGCAGCCAGAGGGCTGCACCAAGAGCCTGCAGCGGAGCTGCAGGAGCGCGGAAGGCTACGGGAGCGAAAGCAGCCGTGGAGCTGCCAGGCAGAGAGTCTCAGGAGGAGTGCCGTGAGGGAAGGAGAACGCGAACCCAAATAAAGGACACGGAGTCAGAGAGAAGTGTCCGAGTCCTTTATTACACTGGTGTCAGAAGTGAAACGGCATCTCAAAACAACTGAGAGAAGAAAAAAAAAGAATATTCCTGCGCCATCATCTGCTACATCATCAGACGACGACGACCTTCCTCAGACGGTGGACCTGCCTGCGATGGAAGAGGAGATCCGTGCTGGAACGAGTACGGGTCCGGGTGAGCAAGGTGTCACCGCGTTGGTGGACCTGTCTGTGCCGGAGGACGCCAACTTACGATGGAGACAGATGGCGACGCAGATGGAGACCTTGAAAATCGTGCTGGCGCAACTGTGTGAGTTCACCACGCCGAGGACGGCGTCGGGGAGGCCCGGGGGTGATCCGCAGGCCTCCGCCTTTCCTGCGCTGCCAGCGCCATTTGCCACGTGGCACGAAGACGCCATCTTGGGCGTGGCAGGGGAGAAAAGGCGGGAAGCCGCCATCTTGTCTTCACCGCGGCGGGGAGACGCCGCCATTCAACATCGCAGCGGTGACGCAGCTTTGCGCTGCCATCTGGAGGTGCCTCGGGGAGAGCAGCCTGCAGTGAGCTGCTGCGCGAGGACGAGCTGCGAGGAGAGGACGACGATGCTGCGGCTGCTGGGGCGGGAGCTTCCCGTCCTGGCTCGGATGCGTGACAACGGAGCAGTCAAGTCGCCGAACGAGTTCTGCGAGGCGTCTCAAGTTGCCACCCTGCCGTCCTCTTCTTGCTGCAGCCCCGGGCGAGTCGTAACGATACGCACCCGGCCTTAACACACACCTCACCCATCTTTCGAGGGCCGGGGGGGGCGATTTTGTTTTTTTCTCTCATGACTCGATTGTGCGGAGCGCGGTTCGGACTGTGTGTATGTGTGTGTAATAACGATGAACGCGCTATCTGCTTGTTGCTTGGTGTCAATATAAGTGTGTGCGTGTGCTGAGAATGGACGGAGAGTCTGCTGTATTGCTGAGTGTCAAATTGTGTGTGTGCGCTGCGGCATGGAGTTGTTATCTTGATGGCGAAGTTAATTATTAACTCGGGAGCGTCGGGTATCTTGCGCTGTATTATCTCGTGGGTTACCTTGTGCGATGGGCTTAATTGAAAAAAAATATATATTTTTTTGGTGTATTGTGCTGCGAGGTGCTATGTGCGATGTGGTCGTTGCAAGAGAGATAATGTTTGTGTTGTTGCTGCAAAGTTACGACAGGATTAATGGTGTGTTGGTTGCCTGCAGATCTGCTTGCTATTGTGCTTAAATGTACGCGTGTGATCGCGATATGCTGACTGTATGTGCTGTTACACCGTTCTGTACGGTTATGGGGTGCAATGCATTGGTTGACTATTGGGGGTTGGGATTGTTATTATTTGTGCGTACCTGTTTGGAAATTAGTAACAAATTCGAGGGGAACCCAAAAAAAAAAAAATTGGTTGTATGGTTGTTGTGCACACGAGATTGCGTGTATATTATAAATGGGCGGGGCGGATATGACGATCCGAGAGGGAGGAGTCAGGGTCACGTGGGGGAGAAGTTATAGCGGGGAGACAGGAAGCCATCTGGGTCAGTCGGGGGAGTGAAGGGTGGTGAACACGTTGGGTGGTCGCCGTGCCTCAGCCTGGTGGCTGAGGGGCTCATGACGGCGCCAGCCAGCAGGGTGGAAGAGAGTTGGGGATAGAGCTGAGGTTGGAGATGGCGAGATAGCCACAGAGGCCACGCAGGGCTGAGATTGGAGATGGCGAGATAGCCACAGAGGCCACGGAGGGCTGAGGTTGGGGAGTGGCGAGATCGCCACACACGGTAAGACTCGGCACCGCCGGCCAGCGGTGACCGAGCACGGAGGAACAGGGAGCAGCGGTGGAGCTGCTGTGAGAGCAGCCAGAGGGCTGCACCAAGAGCCTGCAGCGGAGCTGCAGGAGCGCGGAAGGCTACGGGAGCGAAAGCAGCCGTGGAGCTGCCAGGCAGAGAGTCTCAGGAGGAGTGCCGTGAGGGAAGGAGAACGCGAACCCAAATAAAGGACACGGAGTCAGAGAGAAGTGTCCGAGTCCTTTATTACATATCCAGTGGACTTGAGCTCGGACGTGTTCGATTTTGTGGCTGTCACTCTGTTATTATTCTTGACCCTTCAGCCATCAACCCTTTAGGTGACTTTTCTAAATAGTTTCAATGAATCAGAATGTATTTATACTGGAGGAATCCGATGAGCTATAAAGCTCTTTATAACAGGTGCCCAGTAGGGGCAGGTAAGAACGTTACAACAAACAATACAATTGTAGTGCAAAGTACAATAAAGATAAACAAATCACCCAAACACGTACACAGTGCATCGTGCCTGTGGTGTTTAGATTTTTACTAATTGTTGCATCAAAGCACGTCTATGCTATTCGTTCGTTTGTGAGACGCTTCTAAGGCCGTACGGATAATTAGACCTGACCCCAAAAGCTGCCCCCCCCCCCGTTCCAAATATTTATTCTAATAAGCGACTTGGGTTCGTTAAATAAATAACCCGGCACCCACGTCTTCTTATACGGCGGCGAGCAGCTGGCTGTGACGAACGAGGATTCCCGGGGCAGATCGCAGCGTCTCCTCCGCCTAATTTAAACTAGCCCTGTGTGCAGCCGCCATCTGGCAGCAAAGACCACTTAATGCCTGCACCTTTGGTGCTCGCGGCGCACGCAGGCGCGGCTCTGTTTGGGCGCGTGACTACGGCGCGGCGCAATTAGCGCGCGATCCAAAAACATGCCGGGGCCTTGGTGGAGCGCGCGCGGCAGGCAAAGGGGAACTTTTAGATCTTTAGTGGCGGGTCTCTCTTGCGCGCGCTCTCGGAAATTACGCTTCTCCTCGGAGTTCTTTGCTCAGCTCTGCCGATTTTACGGAGCGGCGGAAGGAGGCGTTGGGGGGTGGGTGGTGCGTTTGCTGGCGACACCGTTAAACGTCACTGTGGGCAAACCTGGGAACCATCGTGGGATTGAACTACACTTGCCAAATATAATAGCGTCTGTCGTGTTTGTATGGGTGGGAGCGGTAGACGCAGCGGTTAGCGCGCACTGCGTTGCGTACGCGGTGACGCGAGTTCGATTCTCGGTCACGGATTCTGTCAGTGGCAGTGATATTTGAACCTCTCTTGCCCCCCTCCACCCTCTCATCATTCCATGCGAAGCAACATTGTCCTTCCCCCACACCTCCGATTAGCATGGTTGTCTTTGTATGGTGCGAAAGAAGTGCTACATACATAGATACAACGTGTTGGAGTCTGATCAAACACAACCCCCCCCGTGACTGATGTGGCTCGGGGAGGCTTTTATCCAGCAGTGGATTGACAAAAGGTTGTACACCCACACACGTGCACAGTATTTGTATACTCTATTACTGTACAATTTGCACATCGCCAATGAAATCAGCAACAGTAGCAGAAGACGTCGGGAAGACAGGGGTTACAGATCTGTAAATGATAATTCCTATAACTCAGCTAAATGGCAGACTTCTTCACAATTTTACCCACTTTAGTGTGATTTCACTGCCCCGTTTGACCAACTCCATGCAGCTGGTGAAAATCCCATCGCTGGGTCATCATCTTAACCTTGAAATTCAACAAACCAGCCTGGTCTCCACGCATAGTGAGCGATCTCACCACACAAGCATTATTATACGGCTAGAACACACTAAATGTGTTGCCACATGGGCAACTCAAAACTCAAAGTTATTTTCACACCTTGTAAGTTAGCTAATGCTCTTCTACGTCAACACACTGTTAGAGAGGCGTAGCTTTGCCCGACAGACTCTTGCGGGTAGGATTGGCGGAGA